TCATGGGCCACTTACCACAAGCAATTCGAGGCGGCTGCTAAGGCGAATAACTGGGCGCCTGAAGAAAAAGCCACTGCGTTGACCGTTGAGCTTCGTGGAGTTGCATGTGACATTTTGAACACCCTTTCCCCGGAAGAATTGGCGGATTATGAACAGTTGGTAAAACGGGTAGAGTTGCGCTATGGCGAGGCTCATTTAACAGCGATGTATCATATGCAACTAAAAACCCGTCAGCAGAAACCAACGGAATCCCTACAAGAATTCGAGGCTGATATTGCGAGACTGTCCCGACTGGCCTATCCTGATACTCCAGAAGAACTGATGAAAAGGTTTGCACTGGAGGCATTTACTGATGGACTTCGGGACAGTGACACCCAACAACGAATACGCCTTGACCGACCTAAGACGCTAGCTGATGCATTGGCTCGTACATTAGAGTACGAAACTGTTAAACGGGTCTATAGCAGACAGGGAAAGGTTCGGCTACTGCGTGAAGAAACGGATTCGTCAGAATCTCTAGAAGAAACCGTCTGCCGAATCATCTCCAAGTTCGATAAAGAAACACGAAGGCTAAGATGTTGGAATTGCGGCGAACTAGGTCACAGAACGAGGCAGTGTAGGAAAAGTACTCCTTCGCCAAGTACTCGACGTTAACAACAGGAAAACTAGATAGGTCACAGAACGAGGCAGTGTAGGAAAAGTACTCCTTCGCCAAGTACTCGACGTTAACAACAGGAAAACTAGATAGGGTCGATGTANACTCGACGTTAACAACAGGAAAACTAGATAGGTCACAGAACGAGGCAGTGTAGGAAAAGTACTCCTTCGCCAAGTACTCGACGTTAACAACAGGAAAACTAGATAGGGTCGATGTAATGGGGCAAACGTTGACCCACGGACAAAAAGACTGTCTTTGACCATCGAGTGCTTGTGGCAGATATTGAAGATAACGTAATTCTTGGGCTGGCCGTTTTACAAAAATACGATTTTGACATGAATTTAAGAAAGACGCCTTCTGAGACTAAATGGCGAAGAATTCTATTTCAACAAAGATAGACAAGAGGCTGTAACCCGAAAGGTAAATTCTGAAACAGTACCTGTTGAAATAAGTGGAGTGATGGACAGACATTGTACAAATCTAACCAGTGAGTAGAAATGCAAAGTGCAACATCTACTTTGTCAGAATGACGATGTCTTTGAGACTGACAAGAATGGTAGGGGAAGGACCAATATCGTAAAACACAAGATCAATACCGGAAATGCGCAGCCTATTCGTCAAAGACCTATACGATTACTCCTGGCCAAAAAGGAAGAAGCAGAGCGAATAATCCACGAAATGCAGGAGACCGGCATAATTGAGCCATCCTCAAGTCCATGGACATCACCGGTAGTATTGGTAAAGAAGAAGGATGGAACAACCCGTTTTTGTGTGGATTACCGCCAGCTCAACAACGTAACTAAGAAAGATAGTTATCCACTACTACGGATTGACGACACCTTGGATATGCTTTCTGGTTCGAAAATGTCTTCCACACTCGACTTGAAGAGCGGATACTGGCAAGTTGCTTTAAATGCTGCCGACAAGGAAAAGACCGCATTCTCGATCGGCACGGCTTATGGCAGTTTACAGTTATGTGTTTTGGTTTATGCAATGCCCCGGCGACGTTCGAAAGGTTGATGGAGAAAATCTTGAGTGATACTTGGATGACATCATAGTGATTGGAGGCACCTTTAATGAACATCTACAGAATTTTCAAGCGGTATTCCAGCGGTTACGCGAGGCCAATTTGAAACTTAGTCCGAAAAAGTTCCACATTTTCCGCTAGGAAGTTTCTTACTTGGGTCATGTTGTATCAGCGAAGGGCGTGGCCGTGGATCCAGAGAAGATCAAAACCGTGAAAGAATTGCCACCGCCTGAAAATGTCCACGACATAAGAAGCTTCTTGGGATTGTGCACTTATTATCGTCGCTATGTTTATGGATTCGCCAATATCGCCAAACCTTTGACATGTTTAACCGAAAGTGACTACTTTCATTGGGATTTGGATTGTCAAACGGCATTTCACACTTTGAAGCAGGCTTTAATCACAGCCCCCGTAGTGGTATATCCTCGGCCCAATGAAATGTTCATTTTGGACACCGACGCCAGCAATGTGGGAATGGGAGCCGTTCTTTCGCAGTTACAAGATGGCCAAGAGAAGATAATCGACTATTTTAGCAAGACCTTATCAAAAGCTGAAAGAAACTACTGCGTCACTAGGCGAGACATGCTGGCTGTAGTCAAAGGTGTAGAACATTTTTATAAATACCTGTATGGACGAAAATTCACCCTACGCACCGATCATGCAGCTTTAAAGTGGCTTCTGAACTTTAAGAATCCGGAGAGCCAGGTAGCTCGATGGATTGAGAAGCTACAGGAATATGATTTTGACGTGGAGCACCGACCTGAAACCGGACACAAGAATGCCGATACACTTTCCAGAAGATCTTGTCAAGCAGACTGCAAGCAGTATGATCGAATGAAAAAGAACGAATGGTTACCTGACAATATAAAACACGACCAAGAAAACGACCAGGACTTGAATAAGATAATGGAATTGAAAAAAGACGGAAAACGGCCAACCTGGCAGCAAGTTTCTTCCTGTACCCAAGTCCTAAAATCGTTATGGACTCAGTGGTATTCAATAGTATTGGAGGATGTCATTCTGAAGCGTGTTGTTGAAAGTCCAGATGGAGAGGAAGATAGGAAGCAACTGGTTATTCCTCGAAACAAGATTAGAGAGCTGTTGCAGTATCTTCATGATGGATCATCTGGTGGCCATTTTGGAGTGACTAAGACGCTTGGGAAAGTTCGACAGCGATTTTATTGGGTAAACTGTAAGGAAGATGTCAAGAATTGGTGTAAGAAGTGTACCACCTTTGCCGCGAGTAACGGACCACAAAAAAGGCCAAGGGCGCCAATGCGTCAATACAATGTCGCTGGCCCCTTCGAACGAATCGCAATCGATGTGGCGGGTCCATTCCCAGAGTCCGAGAAGGTAACAAGTACATCGTGGTCGTTATGGACTATTTTACCAAGTGGATTGAAGCCTATGCCCTTCCGAACCAAGAGTCGGAAACCATAGTTGAGGAGCATGGTTGAACGAATGAACCGGACTTTGATTAAATATCTCTCCAAGGTAGTGTCTGACCACCAAAGGGACTGGGACCGCTATTTGCCTTTATTCCTAATGACATACCGTTCATCTGTCCACGAAACGACTGGCCAAACACCTGCCAGTGTCCTTTTTGGAAGGGAGTTACGACTACCTTGTGACCTCAAATTCGGCTTTAAACCAGGAGATGACTTGGCTGGAGAAGATTATGTAACCAACCTCCGAAGAAAGCTTAACGATATCCATGAATCGGTTCGTCTGCATGCAGAGATTGCTAGTGTCGGGATTAAAGAAAACTACGACATCAAGGCTACAGCAGGTAGTTACCAAACTGGAGATTTTGTTTGGTTGTATAATTCTCGTCGTCTCCGTGGACTATCACTTAACTTCCAACAGAATTGGGAAGGACCCTATGAGATAGTGAAGAGGATTAACGACGGGATCTACCGAATTAAGAAAACTCCAAATGGGAAGCCGAAGGTAGTCCATTTTAATCGCTTGGCTCCATTCGCCGGTGCAAATGAAGAGGAGGCGCGGGCCAGATTATTAAGAACTACTCCTTCCGAGCCCACATTCGAAGAGTTCACGAAGAAAGGCCCCCATGTTAACAGGAAATTTGGAGTGACGCAAGAAATCCGACGAGACCTCTTTGCTATATCCAAGGAATATTCTCTGGCCCATTGCGTTTCAAAGGATCTCAGAATGAGCCGTGGTATCGCGTCCGAGTTCAAACGCAGATTTGGCGGTTTGGAACATCTTGAAGACCAAGTACAGAAGGGAATAGCACTGTTGTGCTTGCCTGACGGACGACGCAATTTCTATTACCTGGTAACTAAAGGAAGATGCTCTGATACCCCACTTATAGAGACCTTTGGGACGCAGTAATAGAACTCGGCAGACATCTTCTGGAGAATAACCTACAGAAGCTGGCGATTCCGAAGCTTAGCTATGGACTGGATAACCTAGATTGGAGGATCGTACGGAACATGATCGAAGTCCTGTTCCGCCGTACTGGAATAGACATTTTGGTCTGCAGTAATAACCCGAATCGGACAAATCATGAGAAGACTTCTATTCCCGGAGTGGATGTCGTGAAGGCGAGAATTGCAGATTCCGGCATGATCCTGCGAAACGGAAAGTAAAAATGTTTTGGGACGAAACATCCTTAAGGAGGGGGCAGTGTAGCGACCACGGGGGTGATTGTGTGCGATCGGGCATACGTGTGTGTGAGCGGTTTATCGATTCGCCGACTAGCCGCGGGCGCTTTTCTTCATGTGCGCCGTATCTGTAAACGTGTGTGTCGTTCCTGCGTTCCGGAAAAGCAATTAAACCGTTCAAAGAAAACGAGACTTCTCTGGACGGCTGGCGAACGTTCCCGAAAGGAGGCAAGGGAGTATAAAAAGGAAGAGAAGATCGCCAAAGGAGAGTAGAAATAAATTGACCGTTGCAGAAGTGAATCAAGAGATAAATTGACTGTGATAGAAGTGAAATAAATAGAACAGTGAATAGTAACAGTAGTGTAAATAAATAGAATAATTACCTAAGTTGAGTAATAATTTAAGAGTGTTTTTAAATTCAATAATAATTAGTGTAAATAAATAGTTTTCTTCTTAAAAGTTAATTTGTTAAACCCACGAACATTACAATATCCTAAAAAAGGATCTCATCAAAACTTGTTGATTTAGTCTTTAACTAAGTATGACATGTTGAGTGCTTAAACGTGTTATGGTTTTTAAACTTTTTATGTAAAATTTTGTATTTCAATGTTTGTTTGGTTTTGTAAATATAGCGTGCTCTTCAAGTAACTTTTGAATGAATTACTACCTGAATAATTTCTTTGTTTAGGTTTAGAGCAGGCTTTGTTCAGTTTTTTTCTTGTTTACCGTTCGTTCATTTAAGCCACAGAAATATATCTCGAAGAGAAATCTTCACTGCTAGATCTTTCTCTGCATCACCTGAAGGACATCGAATTGCCAGAAACAGTAAGTACCCAAACGAAATTTGCAAATACTTGGTTAACTATATAACTATACAAATTGTTGTACAATAATAATGATATTGTACCAATTTATGGAAATAATAAATTTACAGTTAGAAATATATGCGCTATACGATTGATTTACTGTTGTCATTGTTTGATGATTAATTTGGAGCTGTTGTTTTTAGTTTGTATTGAAATGTAGCAATTTCGTATTAATTTTCTTCAAGAAGAATGTATCCTTATTTTATGTAGATAGTTAGTATGCTTATGAGCAGATAGCGCTACAGGACCGTTACTATTACTATTAGTAGTGTTGCAAATATATATTTTAATGTAATTTAAAAAAAGAAAAACTTAAATCATGTGGCTGTTATATTTAGAAAATTACGGTATGCAAACAGGAACAAGATACATAGTAAAAATAATTAAAGCACAAAATACTCAGGGGTCACTTTGCGAAAATAAAGAGCCAAAAGGTAACTACAAAAAATTTACCTCGGGGAACACAGTCGGGGGTTCCTGGATTTCCTTGGTTGAGTGCTCAAAGCTTTCTAACAGTAAAATTACAATCACAGTGACAAAAAGAGCAAGATAACAAAACAGTAATAATAACAAAGATAACAACAAAAATGAAAACAATGTAGAGAAAAATAATAGAATAATCGAAGCACTTACGAACGGTGGTAGCGGTAGGCGAGAGACTGTCTCGATAAGAATTTTTGGAGGGTATTTATAGGATAGGGTTGTTAGTAGATTTGATAGAAGGTTCTAGAAGGATAAGTAGTGAGAGAGAGGGTGAAGACACTAGTTTATAGGAATACATAGAATTAGACAGTACAGAATTCAAGAGAAAGCAATTAAGGGTAAAACCAGATATTAGTATGGGAGTGCATGCAGGTATAGTTGAAGTTGGATTTCCAGGTAAAAGTGATTGAAAGAATAATAGAGTTTAGACTGAAAGGAAATATTACTTGAAATGAAATATTAATTGAAATGAAATAAAATTAGAAAAAATATTTACACACAGAAAAAACAAAAAGAGTTATTTCGCCACAGTTCGTCTTATCCGTCCCTCCCTAACCACCAGTGTGGGTTGGAGGAACTAATATGTTTCCTTTTAGGTTTGCATTTTATCGAAATTGTATTAATAATTAATATTAGTATTTCCAATATAGATGTGAGTTGTATTCATGTCAATGTATTCAAAAGGAAACAATTTATTGAATTTCTGTGATACCTTGTCCTAGGGCATTCGTATGACTTCTTTAGTTTCGTTTACAATATTCTCCGCATAATATACAACCGTTTTCCGTTTTATGTGTGTAGATATATATATTACACTCAAAATGAAGTACCTAATTTTTATAAATGCTTTAAGATACTGTACAAATTTCGATTCACGCTGGATGTTCAACCCCTCCAATTGCGAGCACCTATTTCAACGGTGAAGAAAACTGTTTGGCTAGATCTCGCATCAGGAAAAGTATGGAACTGAAATTATTCTGACAACGGCATGATAGTTCGGAGGCAATAATGATGGGTTCGCGACATACTTGGATTTAGAATGAAATAAACGGAAGGATTGCTCTATCAAAAAGTGATATCTATTTATGTACTTATTGTTGTATTCTATGCTACTCGCTGTTTTGTTTAAATTATTTTGCTGACAGATGTCTACTTACTTAGATCAACTTTGGGGGCAAGTGTTACTAAGAATCGCTTTATTCACTTTAAATGGACCATATACTTAATACTCCTGTACTACTAGTAGGAGCCTGGAAAAGGATGCCGTTCTGACAGTGCAGACATACATACGTTTGTCTCCCTCATTTAGACGTCAAATATTATCCGCATGTCGGAGAATTGTTCCCCACTACAGTTGTAAGGCTTGCGCGTAACGCATCGGGTAGCCGGCAACGCTTCCACTTATGAGAACTAGTAATATAGGAGTATTAAGTACCTATATAAAATGGACAAATGACCAAAGCCTTGTTATTACGGAAATAATCTTAATAAACTGCCACGTATTATATATAAGTCTCACCGACGAAGTCCGGCAGTTCCTATGTTCAATCAGTATTATCCAGCACATTAAACTGCATTCCGCCTTAATTGTTCCATTGTCAAAAACTATCAAATGTTACATGTACTTATAGTTTTAATTACTGTTTGAAATACATTTTTTTTTGCATAATGTCAACAGAAGTCTCAAGAATTTATAAACTGGTTTTAAGAATTATACATTGTTATACAGAAATGTGTGGCATGTTTGTTTACTTAATATAAGTTTAAATATGTGTCTGTAAAGTGCATCGTTGTACTTGTAGTGTTAATTAAAGGCTGATTTAGTAAAAAACAAAAAAAATTAATGCATTAGTAAATTTATTTTTAAATTAACTTTTACCCACTGCAGATAACCTCAAATTAATGAGAACTTTAACACTACAAAAATTCAAAGTGTCTCAAGAGATCTTTCTCTTTGCCTAGCCTTATCCCATATCATTTGAGGTCGGCTCTCCCCATCATTCTTCGCCATAAGCAACGGTTCTGGGTAGTCATGCCATTTACTTGGTCTTTCTTCAGGTCGTTGTTGATGAGGGACATCCAAGTCTGAAGTAGTCTCCCTGGCATTCTCGATCCGGTGTTTATGCTTAGGACCGTCAGCTTAGTCATGTGATAGCAGCAGTCTCTAAATCGCTTCTCCAACATTCGAGCAACTATTCCAGGTCTTCAGGCCAAATCAAACACAATTAGCAACTCGCTATGGGTAATTAAATCATTTTAACTCGCTGAATTAACGAACAGCTTCAAAATAATGTCAGGATAACAATTCCTTACCCCCAACTCTTAAAAAAAACTCTTAAATCCGTAAGGGGTTGTAAAAATTAACATAAGAAAAGTAACATAGGTACAATGATATGGCACACAGTCAATTACAAGACATCAAAAATTAAATTTGCTAAAAAAATTTTGGAAAAAGTACAAAGGTGGATTGTCGTTGGTTAACAATTGATAGTTTTTAGTCACCAAACTGACTCAGGTGTCATAAACATTAACATAAAATGGCGACAAAAGACAGGCAAAATTGCAAAACGCAAAAACAAAAAAATTCACCAAAAAAGCCAAAAGTACTAATCTGGGTGCATCCCACGGTTAAAACTCCTCACTCGGGAAACCGAGCTTTTCAAAAATCAGCACCAAAGGTTGTAAGTAAGGGTGCAGATCTTCAATTTGAGAACAGTTGGTCCAAACTATCGTAAAAAACGGGAGAAATCCTCTAAAAGTTCACTCGGCTACCAAGAGAACGGAAAAAGGGTACCAAAGACAAATCTGGCTTCACCAGGTCTCAAAAATTCTCTAACAAGGAACAGGGCGTAACTCATACGCCATACAGAATTAGGGGAAGAAGTGATTAGCAAAATCACCAGAAAAATGAAAACTTCCAAATACTTAAAACGACAAGAGCAACAATTGCTCGACAAAACTAGGCACCTAGTGCAACAATAACTCAAGCTTTTTATTACCTAAGTCAAATTGTACAACAAAGTGTTGTTCCAGATTACTACTAAAACCGGCAGGTTTTCGACAGCAGTCAAAGGCAGAATCCCGTCCATACGTAAAATTACCTCATAGAAACTAGAAAATTGATACCTTCTAGAACGCTGGATGATCATGCTACCCCAATTTAAGTTGCTTAGCAACAGCGTGGATCAACCTAATTTATTCTCGTAATTTAGGCAAAAATCAGACCAAAACAAAAGGTACATAAAAAAATACAACGTGTGATTATACAACACGCTACTGAAGTGAAACTTCTTCAAACACACAAACATACTGGGATAGGGGTTAAGGAATTGGTTTAATGGTATTATTTGTACACTATTGTGGGTTTTTGTTTTATTTTAAATATTTTTCTTTCCATTCAGTTATAACAGTTATATTTATCCTAATAATACGATAGCGAGTTTCTACAGTTTGTCTGCTCCTGATTCATTCAAATTGTTTTTGCAAGTCCCAGATTATAGGGAATTTACCAATGTGAACGACGGTGAACACCGCGGGGGAAGAGTAGTTGCAAATAGGTAGCCATCGAGGTCAGATTAAAAAGTAAAGAGTAAAATAAAAGAGGAAAAACGTGAGAAAGACGAAAGACGCGTAAAAGACGAAAGACGTACGAAAGACGGAAAGTCCTCAAAAAGACGATAAAGACGAAAAAGACGGAAGACGATAAAATTAAGTGTATATTGATGTGCTGTTTGTGACCAATAAGAAATAAGTGTATCAGGATAGCTGTGCAATACTGTGGAAAACTCTAATTGTACAAACCTTTACACTTTTTAATATTTTAATTTTATTCATTAAACACATTCTAAAAATAGTGGAGCTGGATTCGTTTTTATTCACCCTAGACAACCAAAGAAAAAGCCTACACTATGAACTTAAATTTTACACTATACATGCCGGAGTTGCCTGTAACGAACCTTGCATTGAAGCGCGCTCACGGCTCAAGCGATCCCCACTATGAACTCGACTACGTGGCCGAGTAGAGGGGGGATATACGTTGCATGATTTCGTTACATAGCAACTTGCATGAAACGAACTTACCCTACCGTGCGTAAGGAAGTTTCACTTCAAAAACTAACCTTAGAACCGACGAAAAGATCATAGACAGGGAATAAACGACTCATAGTGTAACGCATCTTTTACTCCGCTAAAAAAAAACGTTATGAAAAGCTGGCAGCGCTGGCCAAAACTAGAATGTGTACATGATTAAGTCTTTGCTGTCTTTTTTAACAGTTTATTTACACACTTAATCCTAACTATATAATAATTGAATCAGTTCATACTTTCAATTTTAATTTCTAACTCTTCAGCATGCTTCATTACGTGGAACGCTTATACCTACATGTACCCTGTCTTGTAATTACTAACAACCTGGTTTCTCTCGCAATAACATTCTATTCTATTTATTTCTGAGAACTTTTACCATCAGTATCTGTACTTTATGTCTTTCTTTTATACTACCCTTCTCCTTGTCAATCTTCAACACCTTTAGCAATAAATTACCTTACTTTCGATTTCAAAAGTTAGTTCTTTTCTTTCAGCTGCTTAGTAAGTTTTCGTATACATTGTTATTATCGTTATTGTTATTTTTGTGGTTGTCTTGTTCCTGTTGTAATTTGCAATTCTGTATTAGTGTTTTATTTTTAGTTCATTGCGCCATATTTGTGTACTACAAAAACTAGCCGAAAACACTACACAACATACGGAATACCAAGAAATAGATTTAAGCTCTAAACTATAATAAAGTTATTTGCACAGCTACAATGTTATTATTAACAAAATTTTGCCGGTCATAATGCTGCACTCTCGCTGATACTTCATAAACATAAACGGTTGATAATAATACGTTCACAATGTTACAGAGGGGTCGTTCACAATTTTTTGCAACGAACAACTCCATTTAAATTGTGTTTCGAAATCGGCAAAGTTCAGACAATAGATAAGAGTACGACTTGTTTTATTATTTCGATATACTTATTGATTTTCAACAAGATGAGAAATAAAATTTTGCTAAATTCCGATAAGGATCCATAATAAAAATGCGGAACCAGTTGCAAAAGAGCATGTAAAAATGTATGCGGAAGCGAAAGCAGAGGTCTGTTACAACACTGTTGTGCGGTCAGAAGTTATATTCTTTCTAGAATTTTGATTGACCTACATCACAGTATTGCAGGAGCGGAAGGGTGGGATTAAGAAAGAAGGAAAGGGACAGATATTAGCCGCATGGGTCGCTTTCTCTCTTTCTAGAACATGGTCAATTTCATGAGGGTATTGCTTAGTCCATTCTCTATTTCTATGGGACCAAAATACGACGGTTAGAATTAATTCTGCTATTATCTGTTCACTATGATCTTCTTTACTTTCTTTTATTTATACAACTCCTCATTATATTCTTCCCCCCTCCATTTTTTCAATGCTAGTTTATATTCTTTCTTTTTATTCCAACACTCCTCAATCCACCATCTTTCACTTCTTTTCACCATCCTTATCTTCTTTATCAAACTTTCACTCATTATCTCTTTCATATTCTTCCAGTTACCTTTTCAACTTTTTCTATTATTCTTTATCTATATTCCTGCACAGCACTTTTTGACCATTCGTTCACTTCTTTGCATTCGTACCTATTTGTTTCTACAATCACCTCTTCCTTCATCAATACAATTTCTACGGGAAAATGTTCTGATTCTCTTAATTCCTTTATTTGAAAACTTTTTATATATCCCCATGTATTTTCTTTTACTAAACCATAGTCTATGACTGACTTTCCATGCCCTATACAATATATTCCCCTGAATTATCTCCCTCCACACACCCATTTAAAATACATAAATCATTCTTTCTACGCCACTGTGTATAAATCTTTTACTATCCCAATCTATAGAATTTTTCTTTCCATTCCCACAAACATAAAATAAAGGGTTAAAACATTTTATTAAACAATTCTTATCCAGAAAAACTAATTCATCAAATTTTAAATCCTAACAATTTACAAAGCAATGGGCTCCTAATTAACTAATAATTTACACCAGTAATCTCAGGAGACCATTATGAAATATCGTTCTGTACATAGAGGGTCTTTTTCACAACCTTATTAAACTTTTTATAAAGATATAAAAAACTTGAATCTCTTGAATCGCATTGACCAACATTTAAATGATAGTCGCTCCGAACCTCGCAATAGTGAATTTGCATCTCATATTCATACTACAGACCGTACTACCATTTTTGTCATGTTGTTTTCTAATAATGCATTATCGCAGTGATTTCCTGATGAAGCCAAAAATGTTGATGAAAATTTGAGAGCTTAATAAATGTAACCACATTAACCCACATAGTTTTATTTAATAAAAATTTGTCTACCGACGCCCTCAACTTTGATCATCTTTAATTATCTTATCATTAATTATCTATGAAACTATCCTACGATTTTCTGTTTTGCTTTTCTTCACTAATTGTAACTCCTGTTTCTTTTCCTATTTTAATATCAAGATCCTCCATAGCTACCCACTTATTGACCTTATTATACGTCTTTATATATCTTCTCTTCTATTTTACCAAATTTACTTTTTTTTTCTTCATTTAAATATGCAAACACAAAAACCCAGTCTCTCTTTTTTTCTTTTCCCTCTATAATAATTACCACTTTATCTATTTCTTTCACCGTCATCTCCAATTTTCTTTTACCTCAATCATTATTCCTCTCATTACTCTTCCCTTTTTTTATTTTCTCAGCACTAACTATAGATATTTATATTATACCCATTACCCATATTTCTTTCTATATAATCGTTATCTTTCTTTTCTAACCATGTATCACTTAATAATATTATTTCGTATGATTTTAACTTGTTCCAAAACTTTTTATCTTTATTCCTGATTCCTGTTATGTTCCATCCAATCATTTTTATATTATCTTTTTCTTTCTTCAATCCATCAATTTCTCTCTCTGTCATGCTTTTCTAGTCACGAAAGGGCTTACTCATCTTTCCTTCAATCAGACCTCTTCTTTGTCTATTCCATATCCATATCTTTCTTCCTAAGAATGCTGCCCTCTATATGCGCAACAATAATCGTTGGTGAATGTGTCTTCGAATATATTGCGCTGATTAAAGCTTGTTTTTCTCCATACTAATTTTTTAACGAATTTTTTCTTATTGCGTGGTAAGTTTGTGAAAAAAAGTGGGGGGAATAGAATCACTAAAATATTCAATTCTTTTGACATTTTATACTTTCTAAACCATTTTTAGCACGATGCCGCGTAATTACAAGCCAGATCCTCGTGAGAAACGATACAATAAACACTCTGAAGAAAATATCAAGAAAGCAATTGATAATATTCATGGCGGTTTATCTATACGAGAAGCAGCTCGCCGTGCCGGAATTCCAAATTCGGTTTTAAGAAGACATTATAAAAACCCAGATACGTTGCCACAAGGTGGGCCAACTGCCCTGTCTTCAGAAGAGGAGAACACAATTGTTGAAAGAATTCTCATCTGTTCGAAATAGGGGTACCCTATGGGTCGAATAACTCTTCGACTGTTTGTTAAAAAAAGTTATTTAGATAACCGCGGCAAGACTATAAAAACATTCAAAAATAACACGCCAGGTAATGAATTTGTTATTGGTTTTTTGAAAAGGCATAAGAAAATATTGGCAGAACGCATGTGCCAAAACATAAAACGATCACGAGCTGAGGTATCTCGAACCATACTGTGTGAATATTTCAATAATTTGAAAAATGAATTAGAAGATGTGCCTGCCGAAAATATCAACAACTACGATGAAACAAATTTAAGTGATGATCCAGGCAGGAAAAAAGTTTTTACAAAACGTGGCTGTAAGTATCCGGAACGAGTCATGAATTCTTCGAAAGCAGCTATACATCTATTATGATGGCAGTTAATGCAGAAGGAGAGTTACTTCCTGTATATGTTGTATATAAAGCATTGCATTTATACAGCACATGGGTTGAGAATGGACCAGAAAAAGCGAGATATAATCGAAGTAAATCAGGTTGGTTCGATGCGATCTGTTTTGAAGATTGGCTAAAAACGGTGGCAATTACATTCCTAAAAAAAAAGCTGGAACCAAAGTTTTAATCGGAGACAACCTTTCGTGCCATTTATCAACAGAATGTGTGAGACTTTGTCAAATGTATGACATAAAAATGGTATTCCTCCCACCAAATTCAACACATGTAACTCAACCACTTGATGTGAGTTTTTTTGGGCCAATGAAGAAACACTGGCGATCTATTTTATCAACCTGGAAATTGGACCCAGGAAGGAGGGAGGCCTCAGTTCCTAAAGACATGTTCCCAGCGCTGCTGAAATTATGATGAAATTAAAAACGAAAGGCGCAGATAATGTTGTTGCAGGGTTTAAGAAATATGGAATTCTGCCGTTTAATCCAGAAGCTGTCCTTCAACTGGTTCCAGAAAAGGAACAAGAAACTCCAGAGGTGATAAATAAAAGCATAGATCAATCACTGATTACTCTCCTGGAAGAAATGAAAGGAACAGCAGGTAGCACACCACGTCAACGATAAAAAAATTGCAAGCACAGCCAAGAAAAAGTGTTGCGGCGGAGAGTAGCTCAGACTCTGAAGATATTGATGATAATTTGTGCGAAATTTCTGCGGATGAAAACGCAAACAAGACTGATGACGACGATTCAAACAAGACTGAAGACAATGAGACTGATGATAATGAGACTCATGATAATGAGACACATGATAAAGCAAATGAGAGTAGAAAAGAATCAAATCAGAATGAAGATGATGGCCATTGTTTAGAAATAGTGCCATATGAGCTCAACAAAAATGACTTTGTTATTGTGAAATTTGAAACTAATAAACGTGAGTGTAGGTTTATCGGGCAAGTTCAAAATGTGACAGCCAATTGTGTAAATGTGAAATGCATGAGGAAGAAGATTGGTAAAAATGTCTATTTTGTGTTCCCTTTCAAAGATGATATTTGTGATGTTAAACTAAAAAATATTGAGCGACGAATTGTACTTATGAACCAAAGAGGACAACACATGTTCTGTGTCGATGCAACCTATTTAGAGTAAAAAAAGGTTCAGTTTTTTTTTTCACTTTGTTTACCTAGGTATATTATCTTAATTTGTAAGCTGTAATTTCAACTTAATTTCTGTTTTTGTTCAAGAAGATAGGTATTGAATTTTTTTTTTTATTGTTCAATTTATTTAGTTTTTTTATATTGAAATAAATATTTTTTCGCAAATATTATGTTTTTAATGGTTTTATTGCAGACTTTTTTACAGGTACCATCTTCCAAAAATTATTTTTTTTCTCAAATAGTGATTCTATTAACCCAGGGTAAAGTAAAATAGGCTAAATTGATTAAAAACTATTGGTGATTCTAATCTTCACAACTAATATACCAATAGAATCAGCGATTTTAAAAAAAAAATTAAAATTTGGGAAAATGTGGTCGAAGTAGGTAACTAGACAGGCTGAATGTATAACTCATTTTACATATTTTAATTTCTGATTCATTCTTCTACGATGATTCTAAGCAAAGTAATACGCATTTAAAAAAACAAAAGTAAGAAAAATTGATTCTATTCTCCCCAAATTACGGTATGTAGTTTATAGCATTATCATTAGGCATATTGAATAGTAGATAAAATAAAAAGGAAAAAAATGACTTACTTTTGTTCGTCATCTCGCGCTTGGTTGGTTCCGTTGTTGATCTTTAAAATGTTCAAGTTCGTTCTAGTTTTATTACATCAAGTGTACAAAGTTTGCAACTTTTCTGACAAAAAATTACTGAAATTAAAAACCATTAAAGATACAGTGTTTCTGCAATAAGTAGCAAGCCTGCAGGAGATGATGGGGCACTATATCACAAGAAAATTAAGTAAACCTTGTGGTAGGATCACACAGGGAAATACGACATTGCAACGCATCATCGCATGATTTTCAGCAGCATCCGTTTTGTATTTCTTTCGTATTGTTAAAATCACTTGACTCCTTTTTAGGATTAGAAAAAGAATCGTGTTTCTGTGGTATAAATCCACAAAATAGAAAATAAAACGTTAAGGAAAATGATAAAAAAGAAAGAAACACCCTATATAAGAAATCTTACACAGGTTTCTACTTTAAACTCTCAGGAACCGTTATTTCATATGAATGTAAAAAACAACGCACTATAGCTTTGTAAAGTACTGAGGCTGTTTATCTGGCGATAGCTCAAGCCTGTAAAGAGGCTATTTATTTAAGAAACTTGTTTTGTGAAATTGTAGGCAATTGTGATTATGTAGTAATATTGTAATCAAGGTGCTCAGAAGTTATCAGAAAACCTATTATATCATAAATGAACCAAGCACATAGATGTGCGCCATCATTTTGTTAGAGAAGCGGTGAAATGCCAGCAGACTTACTGACCAAGGGATTAAGTAGTGTAAAACATAACTATTTTGTAAAAAGGTCACATATTCAAAGCATTGTTTAATGGACGACTTTATACTATTGAGTGTTTTGCTTCTATTAGTTTGATAAGGTACATATGTACCAAGGTTTAGATAATTTTGATAAGTGGAGATGTTAGGATTAATATCAAAATAATGTATTCAAAATACCACTAGTGGACTATATGACGAATTATGTGTACTATTACGTCCCTAAACTATCGATATTTACTTTAGATATAAGATGTATATAATACGACCTAGGCAAGTTAGTATAAATATAATTACTCTTGTAATATTAATGACGTAATAAACGTATTCTTTTTCTCTACAAGTTTTTTCACAACTAAGTGTGCATTTTTGTCAATATTTTTAATTAGAGATTTTTTCGACTTAGTGTGCAATTCAGTACGTTGAAAAAAGAGCTACTTATAAAAATATCAACATTTGGTGTAACAACGACCAATAAAAATTTTGTTGTCGTGAGTTCGGTAATTATTTTCTCGAACCTGGGATGCCAGGACTCAACAATACCTACCTACTTATCTTATAAGAAAATAAATAAGTTTTTGAGAAACCACTACGCGTGTTTCATTAAATATAGCATGGTTACCCAGACTTATGGTGAACGATAAGTTGTGACACAATGCCGATTTTGGATAATTTTCTCATGCTTAGTGATCTTATAAATTACAAATAAAACAAAATTAATTATTAGCAGACACTCGTTTTTTATTTCTAGGTAACAGATAATAACATGCCAATTGCCATAAACATAAACGATGTTCCTATGCGGCTGCTGTCATTGTCGCAATAAACGATGTCGCAGCCTCTTATTTATTCTAGATAAATCACACTTCTAAAGTTTGATATTTCTTAAAATTTTAAACAAATAAATAAATAAAAAAACAGATAAGAATAAAAAAACTGATTTTCATTTTAGTAAACTACAAGGATTTGTTGTTTATTGCACACTTTAAATTAATGTCAAAAAAAACACCTTTCCTTAGGATAAAGAATATCGATGATGATGATAGCAAAGTTTGTTCGAATACGATATAAAAGGTGTGGTAGTGGCACTTAAAATTAAAAACTGAACATGATGTGCAAGTGGATTCTACTAAGCTTGCTTGTGGCGGCAGCCAGTGCCATTGAGTTCACGAATCCGATAGTTCCGCAGGCGCCCGATCCATGGATGGTCTACTATAAAGGCTTTTACTACTTTCTTGCTACTACTTGGGATAATACTATTACCATACGGAAGGCAAGTACTTTGGCCGAACTGAAGAATGTTGAGAACAAGGTAGTATACACGTTCGATGGTCACACAGCATGGGCACCAGAAATTCATCAGGTAGACAACAGATGGTACCTCTACTACGCGGCATGTGATCCAAACACCCAGAACTACGGGTGTCATAGGAATAAGGTGGCAGAAAGTGTTGGAGATGACCCGATGGGACCATATCAATTTAAGGTATAATATCAATCATTACAATTGTAACGTATCGACTGCTTCATACATATTGCTCCCTCACAAACTGTGCACAGAAAACCTGTGAACAATCTTGAAACAGTAGTAGGTGCTCTACTCATTATGATCGTATTTAAATGAGCTATCAAATATTATTGTAAACCAGTCTACCACTCACGGCTGATCAAATCAGAGTTGTTTGACTGGGAATATTAATCAACTATAAGATTAATCATGATTTATGTATTTGCGGAAAGAAATCATACGAGCCTAAGAATGATAATGGTCTTGGAATTGGATACAACTTGCATTTTATAAATAGGGACGCCCACTTCTTAAAGAAGACCGAATTTTTCATTTTTATGATGTTAAAATAGTAATGACTCCTATTTCCATCTAAATTACTTAATATAAAGGAGATACAGTTGGAAAGTTTCACTACTTTAATTTGTCTGATCGAAAATTTGTCGATATTATTGGATCATTTTAGAATGACAATTTCTGCCCTTTCCAATGTAACACTGAAGTATTTTCTATTCCTTTTTTGTATTAATAACTGTATATAAGAAACGTAAAATTAGTCTACAGAGGATAAAACATTGTCGGCATTGTATAACTCTTAGCAGTTAATGAACAGCTAAGCAATACCTTGACTTTATCTTAAGTAACTCATCAATGTGTTAGTTTTAAGCTATTGTTTTTAGTAGTAATTATACTCCTTACAATTATTACCGAATTGACGAATTAAAAATTTAACTGATGACAAAAGGTTTGGTAAGAACAATTTCTAAAAAATACTTTATGAAATTCGTCTTAAGTAACTAACCTTTCAAATGGCTTTTAAAGAGTATTTTGAGTCGTACTGAAGATTTTGCCCGTCAGCGGTAGAAGGTAGTTTCCCTTCTTAGGAACTGCGCAAGGATATTTATATGATCAAATGAGTGTCATCCATTGGGAACATACTCAGTTTACATAAAATGTGTTAAGCAAATGGTCTATTTCAGTTCACCATATAGTTGCTCCTACTACCATTAATCATGTTTTTTATCTTATTTAGGCCACTTTGGTTGATGAGGGTGACCCAATGGAATTAGATCCCACGTTGATCAAAATCGGAGATAAATACTATTTGATTGGTTCGACCCAGCAATTATACATACGGGAATTGAGCAATCCTTTCACGCTCGCTCCTGGTAGGAAGGCTATTATATCCTCTCCGACATACGACTGGGAGAGAGTATGGGAAAATATTAATGAAGGACCCGAACCACTCTACCATGACAACAGAACTTTTGTGGTCTACTCAGCTAGTTCATGTAACACATCTGAGTATAAACTTGGTCTATTGGAGTTTGTGGGCTCAGACCCACTTAACATCACACATTGGAAGAAAAACCCCACTCCTGTTTTCCAGACTAACGAAGAAAATCACGTGTATGGTCCTGGGCACAATGGGTTCTTCAAGTCACCTGATGGGACAGAGGACTGGATTGTTTACCATGCAAATGATAGTCCGAATTCAGGTCTTTGCACCATGGTCAGATCAGCACGAGCTCAGAAGTTCACTTGGGGTGACGATGGACTTCCAATATTTGGTGTTCCAGTAGCCGATGACGTAGAGCTTCAGGGTCCATCTGGTGAACAATGATACTAATAAAGATTCGGTCACATACCTGTTGTCATTCTGTTTCATTGTAAATTAATACTTGTGAATAAACAAACAATAACTAGCAATAATTATTAATAAAAATAACCGATTTGTTTGAGAAGATAATAAATGTAAACGTCCATTAATTATTATTATACGAATAGTAGTTAGCAAAATATAAAACATACACCACACACGCACGCAATCACTCCCACCACACACACACACACACACACTACACGCGCGCGCACACTCATATGCACATAAAAGAAATATACTCTTTAATGCCATAAATATGACTTAAATAAGTACATGCGCAGAAAACGACGCAAAACTCAGACTCAGTTAAGTCTTAATACCGATGAGAGGAGGCAACAGAATACATCTGATTGTCATTTTTTTCGCATCGAATTGCAAAACGGGCGCGAACTTTAAATAAAAATAAAGAAAGACAACACTATGGTTAAATAAAAATAAAAGAAAAATAATAAACAGCGGTAAACACACACACATACGTACGAACACTTTAAAAATTATTTGAAATTCGAATCCCGTGCTAAAGGACAAGCTTCGATACGTCTACCAAATGTACTGCTGGTTTCTTTTGATTTCTGTATCACAGTATGATTCGACCGTTAAATTAACACTGTACTCACATTACCCATAAATTAGTATCATGTCACAAAGACCTGCCGTATTGTAGAAGGAAACCGTCGATGTAGATGGTCCACCTCTGAACTGATGGGTGGACACTAGCGCTAAAAAGCAAAGTGGTGATTTTTCCTGCGCAAATTGTTTTTATACCGGGTAGCAGGACTTGTTCCAGATCAGTCAATCGTGGTATGGCAGTGGATCACGTTCGAGTGTTCCGCTAGATCGGATTCCAGATCTGGTTGAGTTTGAGGGTATCCTCCTTCTCGTTGAAGTTTTCTGGATGTTTTTAAATCTCTATAGTCTCTTTAGGATTCTGCCAATTCGGTCCGTGACGTTTGAAACATATAAGTAAATACGCTGGAGAGATAGTGCGCTGTTCCTTGATGGAATTTCCATAATCTTCCGAGCTGAGGTACAATAGAGTTAAAAGTAAGCAAATCGTTATTTGTAAGATTGGACTAAATGTAATTCAACATGTTTATGCTGCCAGCCAACTCAACAAACGTGCTATAGTGCAGTTCAATAAACTGATTATAGTAAATACAATACAACATCAGTCTTTGGAGTAGGTTATTTATGTCATTGTTGAACAGTTTTTGCAATAATGGTGTGACATGATATATTTTTACGGATTTGAACCGTATCGCCGCTGTAGAAGATAACCCCCAAAATTATACACGCGAAATAGCAAGAATCGTTGACTTCTCTAATGTGGCCGTGTAGCACATTTTAAAGGAATAAGTGGTGCGTCCTTATTATTTGCAACGACTGCAAACAATTTACCGAACTTCTAGAATTATAAGGATGTACCGTTGCAACAGCAAACGAAATACATCAAATGTTTGACATTTTTTGGGGACTCAAAAATTATTACGGTAAATATCTAGAAGCCTTCCTTCTACCACGGGACGACAGGATACTAATGTGCGACGCGCTCATGAGATCCAAAAAGATCGAAATCACGATCCGCGTCTGGCCGTTTCGACAGAATACTTACCACTTCAAATTTGTTTAGTAGCACCCATAAGTTCAGTCGGCCTTCCAGAATAAAACTGACGCGAAGCTTCTGCCCTGGTATCCAATGGCATTCCTTGTCGGCTAGTCCAATCATTGATAAAGTTTTTGGTAACGATGTGGTTCAGTATCACATATGTTTCAGTTCACATATTAAATCCATGACGACCAAGATGTACCGGCTATCGAAGTCTGTCATTAGGAATAGCCCTGCCACGTCGACTACGATTCTATCAAATGGCGCATGTCGGGCAATCAATCTACCACATTTTTTCCATTTTTTTGTCGCTCGCGTACCTTCCCCGCCGAAATGCCATTTGTCATGGATTGCTTCTAAGACTTTGGAAGTACCACTTGCAGTTCCAATTGGACTATCCCACAATCACTTCAAAACACTGTAGTCCAAAGTAATAATTTTTTTTCTATCACGCCGTTTTCCCAATTTTTATCTCTTGCACTCATCGCAAAAAACCGAAATCAGCACAAGAGAACTGTAATGTCGCGGCTGCGTACAATTACGTTTGAATTTGAACCTACCATCAGTTTTGCCTATTTGACGTTAGAGGGAGCAATATGTTCGATTTGATACCCTCTTGTTTTGTTTTTAAATTTGTGGTTTATGGATACTACAATATGAGTTGTTAGGCTTCGTATGATATCTTCTTTTTTAAAATGTTAATTAAATACTCTTCGGTACACATACATTTATTATTACTGAAAATAAACTGTCATAACCTTAATAACACAGGTGAGACGTCTTCCATAACTGTAATCTATATAGATTCGACTTGAATTAGATCACATGATGCTTCACGTACATTAGTCACTATTACAGTCAGTGATTGCCAAGAGTCCATATACCACAATAAGGGAAAGGGGGAACTGGTGCGTTTAGTGTTAGAAAACACTACCAGGTGGCATACTCACAAACAGCAGATCCAGAGTACAGTCTTTTAAAAGAAATGAACAAGAAAAAAATTAAGAAAATACACAAGCGCCACCAGCGCAAGCAGGCACTGGTTTCGCACATCGAGCCGGTGGCCACTACCATGAAGATCTGTGGGAGGTATTCGGAGATCTGTGACCACCGAAAGGGAAGTAGTGCGAATTCGATTGGCATTAAGTTGGGAGACTCGGGACTGGAGTCTTGAATAATTCATTTGTGCACTGGTTAGCGTCTTTATATAACAATATAAATATTACAGTTTTCACAAGCCACCTAAATGTCGTTTTTAGGTGTTGTTTTAGCTTAAAACTAAAATAACGCTAATATTGCGACCTTTAATAGAATCCAGAACAAACAACAATGTACATTTGACGCATATTCTTGTTGTTAATGAGAAAATAAAATTGTTTTGTCAGTTAAGTGCGTTTCATTGATAATAAAAAAAACGACAATTACTGTGTACTTATACCTTGTGTTGAGGGTTATTGTTATTTTTTAGAAATATGTTGTAATCTGTCCTGCATTCTGACGTTTTATGTTTTGTTTTAATATATTCTTAAATTTTTGTGTGGACCTTGTTCAAAGAACTTCTAGTTAGGTGGACTCAGGATCTACCGACTCTACTACCCCAAGATGTTTCCGTTTTTTGCGGAATCCCTGTTTGCCGTACAGTGCCCGATTATTTGTCTTTGCAAAACTATTGGGTTTGGCTATGGAAGAGGGGACTCATCTACGAAATGGAAGGGATAAGAAAAAAAAAAAACCATCTCACTCGCACTCGCAGGATCAATGAGGAGCTACTTGGTTAACCTTGAGGATCATTTGGGATGCAAAAGATCCGAGTTTGCCCGGCTCTGAGCTAGCCAATGTTTCACCGTTCTCGCTACAGTTAATCAAATATAAACGAAACAGCTCCCATAAATAACAAACCGATTCAGTTACCTGATGTAAGGTCTAATGTTGTAAAGTACACTGCGAGTCCTAAAAAATCTAATACTTTTTCAACTAATAGTCGGGGATAATTATCAGATATAGTTTCCTTTATTTAGTTCCCTATTACCTATGACTATTCATTATTTATCTTTTAGCGACGCGTCCTTCTTCTTAGATACTACTCACAAAGACGAATTGAACGAAGAAAAACTAGGACGAATCACACCGCCTTTTAACAGTTTGCTGATTTGTTTTTCGACTTCTTCTTTGAATACGTGGGGATACCTATACGTTTTAGAAACAACGGGGATTTCATCGGTTATAATTTTGTGTTCTATAATATCGATATGTAAAAGGATCCACCTCTACATTAAATATATCATTAGTCTATATTACAAGTTTTAATAACGAATCATTATTTAGAAGTCTAATTCTAATTCGTTTAAGTAATTTATCATGACGTTCCTGTTTATCTATCTTATTATAAGTTTCTAAACTATTTATGCTACTTATCATATTTATTTCGAGTGGTATGTGTTCGAGATTTTCAATTGTAAATATTTGTTCAGTTATCTTATTGATAGCCGATGTCGTTATTTCCTGTTGCTCTGATGCACTAACTATGTTATCTGGTATTGTAACAATGTTATCTAAGTTTAATTTTGGAAACAAGTATTCTTTATTTATCTCTGCTTTTATTGGAATCTTAATGATTTGTTCACATTTTGGTTTTATTTTAATATGGAACAAACTTCATCATTATTTGATATTGAGTTTTACTTTTGTGTAGACATGGAAATTAAGTATTTGTAATATATTAAGAAACTAAGTATTTGTTGCAATCGCTACTTTGTACATTATTACTTGAAAAGAATTGTGAAACTAAAATACCATATACCTCTAAATTAGGTTTATCGAAGTATTAAATTTAACAGGAAAATTACTGTCAGCTTTTATTGATCCTTAAGTAGAAAAAGGGTGACCATTTATTTTGTTAATAATGTACTCCTATTTTTTCTTATCTTAGAAAAATTATTAGTGATGTTCCGAATAGTCGGCAAAGCCGATTATTCGGCCACTTTCGTAGTTGGCGACTACTTGTAGTATTTGCTAGTTTTCCCTGACCACCACGAGAATTATCATTTGGCACTGCTTACACTTGACTTTACAAGAATCATTGTCCAATTGGTAAAAAAAAGTCAATAAGCGAGACTGTCTTTCTGACATGATTAAATTTTTTTTCACTTTAATGAACAAGAAAAGTATTATTTCTTTACACAAAAATACTATTGTGACCCGCGCAAAAGCAAAAATCAAGGAACAATGCGAAGTAAGTAAAACTTGCGTTTAAATAAGCTGTAAACAAAGCATCATGGAAATTGCCGAATATCCCCGAAACCGTGATCGGCCTGACGGACTAATCGGCCTCTTTAGAACCAACTAATCGGCTAGTCGGCCAAAGTCATAGTCGGCACATCTCTACAAATTATCATTGTTTTAAAATATTAATACTAGCTGCTATATCTATAAGTAGCCTACAGTTTGTAAACAAACAAACAAAAAACGTTTCTACTGGCAAATTATTAACTAATCCATCACTTTTTGCCTTTCGCATAAATTCTAAGGGTCCTTGTTTTCCTAATCGCATTGGGTTCCCTCCGCTGACGAACCCGAAAAGAGTTTTAAAGGTTTTTATTAGTTTTTATTTCGGAATCGAAATTAGAATTATTTTGTTCAGTTACCTTTACAGAATGTTTTAACTTAAGGACGTTCCCAAAAAAAAATTTTTCTTACGATCACCTTTAAAATTTAATTTTAAATACTTGCCTGTATTCTGAACGCATAAGAAAAATTTCCACCCATTTTGCGGTACTAACATTGAAAATATTTATTTGAACGTATGTTAATTTATACATTTTATACTAATTCATGTAGGTTTTAGTGTCTAATGTAAGAAAGTTATTTATTCGGCATTTATTTACTATTTGGGCTAACCAAATACTAATGACATATATGTAGAATGAGACCAAAGAGGGCAGTTATAAGAGGGCTTTTAAGTTAAAGTCAGTGGTGAAGTGGCAGTCGGCGTGTAAGGATGTGTAAAGCGCCTTAAGGGCGGTTGGTTACTCTGGTGAGAGAGTAAGATGCCGTAGGNTGCCTGGCTCTGTGGTAGAGTACCAAATATTTACAATTTGTCGAACCCGAAATATTTGCATTTGTTATTGATTTAAATATTATCGGTGCTAAAAAGTTGGATGTATGTGGTGATAGAACCTTTTCACACGGGTGGTAGTTGCGCCACTGTGACGAACCGATCGCGATCGTGTATTTATCGTGCGGGCATTTTAACGACCACAGGTGGCTGTCACTGCGTCAAGATAATAATTCACAGTAATATTCATTTAAGAAGTGCAGACATTACCCGAAAAGGGAATATAAACTCACTACTTTGCTTGTTGTAAATTGCCTAATGAAACAACAATTATAATAAATCATAATTCTCACCGATCGTTTAGTTTTCTCTTCATATTTCGAAACGTACTTTGCAATTATTGCTTCCCACTTATTTTATTTAATTATTTTATTGACGTATTTGTCGCTACTGTAATCCTAGATTGCCGGATGATTTTGCTATATCTTCTGTATTTATGGTATATATTTTGTCACGTTGACCAACCTACTGCTGCTACACTACTTCAGTAGCTCGTGTGAACAAATGCTGTTTTAATTCTCAAAAGTTTGGGAGAATCTAATTTTCCAATCAAGTTCGAGATACACACAAAGTACAAATAAAAAATGATATTTCCTTACATGTTGTTTTACATTCATTGCCGCATGCCACTTCGCCAGATGTAACTCTCGAGGAGAACCCACTGGTTGCTGTGTAAAGCTGGTAGGAGGAAATAGCTGTGTGGCTATTGGTATATATATACATAATAGGTGAAAAATATCATCATTCATAATAATAATAAAAATCGCTCCTACACTAACAAGTTTAATTTTGTTACAATTTTTTTTTAAATTTCGAGAATAGGCAGATAATATTCACTTAAATAATTTCCATACAAAACCGGTACAGGAAGCGGTATTTATTTTGTTGTAAACAATGTGTAATGTAAATCTAAGTTGGTTATCCTAAACTGTAGAACCTGCGTGTTTTCATTTCTGATTTCTTTTAACAATATTAAAATTACTATTAATATTTACTCGATTATTATTATTATAATTAAAAAAAAAAAAAAAAGAAACAGATTATGTTACATTTGGAGCCTGAGTTAACTGCATTGGTGACTGATTAATGTTTCCTGTAATAGCTAATATTGTTTAGTTAAGTTTGCTTATCATTCTTTTATTACTGATCGGCTCACGGAGGTACCGTGTGACCGTGACTTATAGCTACTTGTAACTTGTTATTTGATTTTCTTTATGTTTAATCTTTGCAAAATATTCGACAGTTGCCGTTTGACTTTGTAGCAATAAAGTCTTATTAATAAATATACACAATATTCGTCTCCTTCTTNATCAAATACTGATATATTAGTTATAATCGACAAATTCACAAAATTCATTATTGTTAAGCTAAATTGTTCCTATACAAACACCCAGTTTCTGAAAAAGAAATGAAACAAGTAACTTCATTTTTTGAATACAAGTACCTATAATTATTCGACCGAACCACTTTTTTTTTAAGTATTCCTTTATTAGAGGACTCTCAACCACATAAAACATTACAAAAGGCAGTCAGATGCAATTTCACAAAAAATTTAAATAAACTAACAAATGACATTAGTGACTCCCAGAGTACTAAATTAAGTAGAAACAATTTAAATAACTTCAAAATTCAGAGAATCATATGCAGGGGGTTTCTGAAATAAGTAATAAACTTACAGAAGGTGATAGGGCACTATAAAACATATAAGTAAATGTTTGATGTTTTGAAATTCCACCGTTTTCGAGAAAAATAATTTGAAAACACCGGCAAGGGCTGGTTCGACTATGGCAGGATTACACAGTGAAATACGACATTGTAACGCCGTATTCGATCAGCTGGTAATTAGTAGCATTAATAGCATGTATTTCCTTTGTATTTTCGTACTCATGCTTTGTCTGCTATTTCTGAAATATTCTTTGTAGTGTACGCACGAATGTGTAAGTGTGTGTGTTTACTGGTGTTGTAATTAAGTTTTTCTAATGATAAAAGAAAGTTACTCACTTTAGCAATACTCAATGGTGGTTTAGAAATGTAATAAAATTTCAATTACTTACCGCAATTTCTCTGTAAGTTGCCAATTCACGTCCAGGACCGGCTTCGGATTGCAACTTTTTCTTTGTTTTTTACAAATCTTTTTGTCTGTTAATCACGCCGCTTTACTTACAATGCGATTCCCTATTGCATCTAATTAACGCCCTCAAAAGCTTGCTACCTATTTCAGAAATACTCTGTATACGTTCTAGCTTGTAACTGGAATCAGTTTAATTGGGGTAACTGAGTACAATATTTTAGAACTAACTGACTATTTTTTTTGTGTAAATATTTTGTACATATATTTTTCCTAATTTTATTTCTGCAATGTAGAGTACGACTTCTTATTTTTTGCATGCCTTTGTTTCCTTTCTGTTTCTATTCTATTGTCCCTAATCACCTTTACCTAGAAATCTAACTGCAACCGTTTCTCCATGCACCTTGTACTAATAGCTGGCTTTTCCCTTAATTACCTTACCTAAAATTCTATACTGTTCAACTTCGTCAATTCTTCGTATTTCTGTAAGCTCGTGTCTTCAACCCCTATTGCCAGTCTTTGTCTATCTTGAGTATTCTATCTCTTTTTACTAACATTTTCCAACTATAAATACTCCTAACATCCCTATCAGAAATTAATTCATCTGTGTCTCTACATTCAACCGTCTCGTTAGTAAGTCTCTTTTCCTGTTATAAATTGTTATTATCATTGCTATTGTTGTTGTCTTTGTTATTGTTATTATTATTGTTGTTGTTATTTCTTTGTGTGTTTTGGGCTGTTGTGTTTTATTTTTACCATCTGTTTGTTTTGTTGTTTAATTTGTTGTTGGCATAAAATTTTGGTTAATTGTTTAAATAGTGTTTTTCTTTAATTATTTTTATTAATAATTACACTAAAGACACTAAAGTGGTGACCCCGAAATTCGTGCAATTAACAAGTTTGTGCCAAATTGAACTAGTATAAACAGAACTATGAACACCGAGAACAGTGCTGCTAGATCGATCGACCGCGTTTCGGTAAAAGTGCCAGTCTTCATCCCGTCGGATCCAGAACTATGGTTTTCCATATTGGAAGGCAGTTTTGACGCTGCGGGAATTGTGCAGGACAACACCAAGTTCGGGTACGCGTTAAGTGGTTTAGATCAAAAATACGCCCTCGAAGTTCGCGACATTATTGTGAAACCGCGCAGCGAACGGTCCTACGAACTACTAAAAAGCGAACTTATTAAACGTATGGGTGCATCACAGGAGCAAAATACAAGACGGCTACTGGAAAATGAACCACTTGGCGATCGCAAACCGACGCAGTTCCTACGTCATTTGCGTAACCTTGCAGGAGGTGACTTCCCCGAAGAAGTTCTACAGACCCTCTGGTTAACACGCCTTCCCAAACATATCCAGGCCTTATTGGCTGCACATAAAGACCTACCACTGGAAAAGAGAGCAGAGATCGCTGACACCATAATAGAAACTTATGGACAATTCAACAACGTGGCTGAGAATTCCACTACAAATACAGCAGTAAACAGCAGGTTAGATTTTTTAGAAAATGCTCTAACCACAGCGCTACAAGAATTGGCTTCCCTGAAAATCAACCGTGAACCGCCACACCAGCCTCGGCGTTTCCGGCCGAGAGCACGCTCGCGTTCGCATTCACGACCCAGGGAAAATAGGGACATTTGCTGGTACCATCTTCGCTTCAGCACTAATGCAAGGAAATGTACCAAACCATGCAGATTCGAAGCCAACACTCCGGGAAACGACGTGGGCAGTCGTTGATGGCGTCAGACGACAGCAGCCCTATACTATCACGCCGATTGTTTATCACCGATGGGTCTACGAAGATACGTTTCCTTATCGACACTGGTGCCGACCTCTGTGTGTTCCCGCGTTCAGAACTTCCGGAACCACGGGAGAAATCGAATTATGAACTTTCCGCTGCCAACGGTACAATCATCGCAACGTATGGGACACTCACATTAACCCTGGACCTCGGACTTCGACGACAGTTCACGTGGCGATTTGTCGTGGCTGACGTCTCGAAGCCAATCATCGGCGCCGACTTTTTGTCACACTTTAGTTTGCTGGTGGACATGAAGAATAAACGTCTCCTGGACTCAACCACCCATCTTACCTCCCAGGGGAAGGTAATTGAGTGCGAGTCACCGTCCATAAAGACTGTTTCTGGTTCGTCATTATTCCACGACTTGCTACAACAATTTCCGGGAACAACCCGACCAGGAGGCACTCCTCAGTTGACGAACCATTCCACGAAACATCACATTATCACCACTCCCGGACCACCTGTAGCGCAACGACCACGACGACTCGCTCCCGACAAGTTACGTGGTGCGAAAAAGGAATTCGAGGCTATGATCAAGTTGGGTATCGCTCGTCCTTCCAAGAGTCCCTGGGCATCACCGTTGCACATGGTTCATAAAACAGGAGGCGAATGGAGACCTTGTGGCGATTATCGTGCCCTCAACGCCAGGACGTGCCCTGATCGATATCCGGTCAAGCACATTCAGGACTTTTCGCAGACGCTCAGCGGAAAGACTATATTCTCAACTATAGACTTAGTACGTGCGTTCAACCAGATCCCTGTTGCAGAAGAGGATGTTCCTAAAACAGCCATAACGACACCCTTTGGCCTCTTCGAATTTACACACATGAGCTTCGGTCTACGTAATGCTGCGCAAACCTTCCAGCGATTTATTGATGAAGTTTTGCAAGGCCTAGAATTTTGCTATGCCTACATAGACGACATTCTAGTTGCTTCGGTGTCATTGGAAGAACATCTGGACCATCTGCGGACTCTATTCGGGAGACTACAAAAATATGGAGTAGTCATCAATCCATCCAAGTGCGTATTCGGTGAACCGGAAGTCAAATTTCTTGGCTACCGTGTTTCCGGAACCGGCACACACCCGTTGCCCGAAAAAGTGGATACAATTCGATCCTTTCCGCTCCCGCAGACCGTCAAGAAGCTTCGCCAATTTCTTGGCATGGTAAATTTCTATCGGAGGTTCGTCCCGAAGGCAGCGGAAATACAAGCGCCACTTAACGACCTTCTACAAGGCAACGTTAAGGGAAATCATCCAGTAACTTGGACCCCAGAAGCTACTCAGGCATTCGAAGCTTGCAAAGAATCCCTATCGCAAGCTACGCTGCTTGCCCACCCGAAGATGAACGCAACCTTGGCAATTTTTACCGATGCCTCGGACTACGCCGTCGGAGCCGTTCTGCAGCAGCTCGTGGACAACAATTGGCAGCCTTTAGATTTCTTTTCTAAGAAATTAAGTCCTGCCGAGCTAAATTACGCTGCTTACGACCGCGAGTTGTTAGCAATTTATCTCGCGGTGAAACACTTCCGGTATATGGTGGAAGGTCGGACATTCACCATCTTTACCGATCACAAACCGATCGTATATGCCTTCCGGAAAAAGCACGACCAATGTTCTCCACGACAAGTCCGGCATCTTGACTTCATATCCCAATTTTCGAGTGACATCAGACACATTTCCGGCGCGGATAATGTTGTCGCAGATACCCTGTCCCGTATAGAAGAGCTGCACGCTACATTGGACTACAAAGCACTCGCCGAAGCACAAAAAACGGACCCAGAATTGAAGGAATTCCTCAACAATGATTCCTCACTGAAGTTGAAGCTCCTACAACTACCAGGCACCGACACATCAGTTTTTTGTGATGTTTCCATGCGCGCCGCCCGTCCGTTCATCACAAAAGGTTTTCGTAGAGCTGCATTCCACTCCACCCATGACCTTTCCACCCGGGGATTAACGCGACGGTCAAACTTGTGACGAAACGTTACATTTGGCCGTCCGTCAAAAAGGATGTCAGACAGTGGGCCCGCTCCTGTGTACCGTATCAGCGCTAGAAGGTTTCCCGACACGTATCTGCTGCCGTAGGTACATTTCCGCCAACATCAGGGAGGTTTGACCATGTACACATCGACATTGTCATCATGCCGTCGTCAGAAGGATGCAGGTACTGCCTTACGATGGTTGACCGTTACTCCAGGTGGCCTGAAGCAGTCCCTATCCCTGACCAGGAGGCAGCAACCGTCGCTCGCGCCTTCTACAGTAATTGGATCGCCAGATTTGGGACTCCGTTACGTATCACCTCCGACCAGGGCAGACAATTCGAGTCGTACGTTTTTAAGCAGTTAAACCGCTTATTAGGTACGACTCATCTTCGAACTACGGCTTACCATCCCTCAGCCAACGGCATGGTAGAACGGCTCCACAGACAGCTTAAAGCAGCCATAATGTGTCACCAGACCAGTTCCTGGACGCGAACTCTGCCGACCGTTCTACTAGGGATTCGTTCTGCCTGGAAAGAGGACTTGCAAGCCACCACAGCGGAGCTATTGTACGGAGAGACGTTACGACTTCCTGGGGAATTTTTAGGATCACATCCCGATTTTAAAACCCACGAGGACGCCTCCGAATTCGTCAAGGAACTCCGTACAATACAACAGCAGTTACGACCGACCCAAGAACGACGCCATGGGGATAGAAAAACCTTCATCTTTAAAGACCTTGGTACGACAAATCAGGTTTTTATTCGCCGCGGTGGCCCGAAGGAATCACTACAGCAACCCTACGAAGGTCCTTATGCTGTCGTCCAACGTGCGGACAAAACCTTTGTCGTCAACGTCAAAGGCCGTGACGTAACGGTATCAGTCGATCGACTTAAACCGGCCTACGTCATTGCAGAACCACCAGCCACTTCAAGAAACGAAGACATCCCTGCAAGCGTTGAAATGCCACCACAGCTGCCCTCCAGCGAGCCGACCATTACCAACCAAACAACTAGGGCTGGAAGGCGAGTTCGTTTCCCAGATCGCCTACAGGCAGGTTTCCCGTAACGTTCTGTTACTAGCAGGGGGGTACTGTGGCGAAAAAAACTTTTAGTGTTTTTTTTTGTGTAAATATTTTGTACATATATTTTTCCTAATTTTATTTCTGCAATGTAGAGTACGACTTCTTATCTTTTGCATGCCTTTGTTTCCTTTCTATTTCTATTCTATTGTCCCTAATCACCTTTACCTAGAAATCTAACTGCAACTGTTTCTGCATGCACCTTATTCTAATAGCTGGCTTTTCCCTTAATTACCTTACCTAAAATTCTATATTGTTCAACCTCTTCAATTCTTCGTATTTCTGTAAGCTCGTGTCTTCAACCCCTATTGCCAGTCTTTGTCTATCTTGAGTATTCTATCTCTTTTTACTAACATTTTCCTACTATAAATACTCCTAACATCACTATCAGAAATTAATTCATCTGTGTCTCTACATTCAACCGTCTCGTTAGTAAGTCTTTTTTCCTGTTATAAATTGTTATTATTGTCTTTGCTATTGTTATTGTTATTACTATTGTTATTATTATTGTTGTTGTTATTTCTTTGTGTGTTTTGGCTGTTGTGTTTTATTTTTACCATCTGTTTGTATTGTTGTTAAATTTGTTGTTGGTACATAAATTTCGTTAATTGTTTAAACAGTGTTTTTTTTTAATTATTTTTATTAATAATTGTACTAAAGACACTAAAAATCAGAAATTATCTTTAAAGGCTGTCTAAATAAACGTATCTAAACGAAAATTAATGCTTAAAAAAAGAAAATTGAAAGAAAAAATATAAAAAACTAGTTAACCATATATTTATGTTCTAAAGAGGACTGTTTCGAATAAATCATACTTCTGGAATTACTGCACGATACTTCTACGGTTTTTAACCAATCATTCATACATTTCAAACAAGAGATATTTGTAGTAGTTATAACGAAACTTTACATCCTTATAAATTATTTCAATTTTGGGTTGTGCAGGAGCGGCGTTGCAACGTATTAGCGGAATTAATAGAGCACAAAACGCTTAAGGGGAATTAACGAACAGACGCTTCCCTATTAGTGAATTATTTTATCTCAGCCACCTCAACTAAGAAATGAACGTGCTTGTGTATAAATGAGACGTGTCTAGCTGCCACTAACGTACAGCATCTTCGTGGCTACACTGCAGAACTAGGATAACTTTGCAAATCCTAGTTCTAAATCTTTCAACTGCCACAACATTAGGATGAACTTTGATTTACTTGCTAGAAAGTAATACAATTGCCTGTTTCATAAACCTTCAATATTAAATAAAGGCATTTTCTTTGCTTTTCTCATTTCAATGCGGAGCAGATACTGCCAATATTAAAGCTGTCGAGAATTAATTCAAATTATTTTAATTCATTAATGTCAGCGGAAACGTTCTCGTTTCTTGTACTTACTGTTTCTTTAGTTTATTTAGCATTTATTTTATTGAAAAATCAACGGACACGTATATACAAAATAACGTTATTTATACTATTATCATTTACATAAATAAATTCTGAATAATTAACAATGTCGAAAAGTAGGGTATTAGCACTCCAATCATCAAGTGACGGCTTATTCCACTTTCGTCTAAGTCTGTTAACAGAATATATGAAATCCCATGATATTGTTAGTTACTAATAGTGGTTAATGTTAATATACAATATTAATTTGAAATCATTTTTCGATTTTTTATCCACTACAAATTTCCTCAAATTAATGAGGAAAATATTTTTGTTGCTGTTGTCATACCTCCGCCAGGAATCGATCCTGGGACCTTTGGCTTTACGCACTAATGCTCTGGCCACTAAGCTACAAGCAACCACGAGTTGCTGTTGACATTTCTCTAAAAAATCGAAAAAAGATTTCAAATTAATACTGTTAACAGCTCGGTAGATACGGAAAATCTCTCATTAAATGAAGATTCAAAATCCTCACTTCAAACCTAATATTAAAATAGGGTACAAGAAGGCCGATATATAAGGGAAACATGGATATAAAAACAGGAGAAGAATGGACTAAATGAATTTGATGAGGCAGATGAAAGACAGCTATTTCGTGGTAAGAGCATGGCAGAAGAGTAGCTACGCATATGGTAAACGTGTGGAGATAAAAAGGATTGCGTTGAATGTGGCTACAATTAAAAATACTGAGAAGGAGTTTTGGGATAGATTAAGGGAGTATAGCATAATCATAATCAGTGAAACATGGGAACAAAATGAAGATATTAATAAGTATGCAAGTATTGTAACATAAATGAAATAAAAAAAAACAAATGCTAGAGTACAGACCAAATTAGCGACGTCTCAAGATCCATCAAAGTATACCTATATAAAACGATACAGTTAAAAGGAATTTTTGGATTTTCCTTGACTTCTGTATATTTCCTGAGTACATCGCTGTGGAAGTCAAAATTTAAATGATTTGGCGGCTGACGTCCCTTTTTGTGTATCTTTGCTCTGATTATATGAATACACGTGAAGCTAGAAAATTGCTAGACAATTTAGCACCAATCTGGAAATTTTTTGAAGCTTTTGTTAGAAATTGCCGCAGTTTTATTTTATTAATTCACAGTATTCATTTCTTAGATATAAGAATTTCTTTTTGGGACTTCTTTTGTTCAATAGCGTTTGAGGGTATATAGCCGTTTTACCAACCCGGACCTACACGTTCATCGATCGGATTTTGACGAAATAAGTATCGTCTTAATTGTTAGTCGCTATGGCACGTTTTTGTTGCTGTTCCTTTAACTACGTTTTGTTAAGAATATTAATAAGCCTATAAGAATATGTGTTTATAAATGTTTTTGTGTAGGTGGTTTGATCATCTACAAGATACAGTTTACCATAAGTAAAATTTCGAAAACATTTGATCAAACATCATACATGTCAGAAGAAAACTTTACGATATACGGCGTTGTCGTAGCATTTCGAGGTCGACGTAAGTTTAGGCGAGACATATTTGCAAGCATACAAAGTATAGACTGAAGGTATTCGCGGTAGTAGATTCAAAGACACTTTGTATTTCAAACCTTGAAATTTATGCAGGCAAACAGATTGAAGGTCCGTATTATGTAAACAATAAACAGTTTGATGCTGTAAACCGTCTCGTCCATCCCATTTCCAAAATAAACCAAAATATCACTTTTGATAATTGATTTACCTGTTCTGAGTTAGTGATCCACTTACTTCAAAAACACAAATTGACATCTGTAGGTAACTTTGGAAAACATAAAACACGAACAAAAGTCGTATATTCTTCGAGTTTTGGCTTCTAGAAAGACGTCACAACTGTAATACATATTCCCAAAGAAAAAAAAAATAGTTATGCTTATGACGAGTTAACATCAGAATGACAGGATTGACGAATTCACAGGTGACAAGAGAAAACCTGAATATACACTTTTTATAAATGTGAGTTAAGGTGGAGTAGATGCTGCTGACGAACTTTGTTCCACTTATAATGTGAGTTGTGATTCAAAAAAATGGCCCTTAATAATTCTTTACGGTATACCAAATATGTCTGGAATAAATCCATATGTAGTACATAACAGAAACAGTGAATAATAAATTAATAAGGAATTTAGCTTCTTCTCTTGTTCATAAGCTTTTTAAGGCTCAGTTGCCAAATCTACTTCGAAAAGAGATAAGGGTTTTCCTAGGAGAGCCAAGTGGGAAAGCACCTGTGGAAATGCCTAATATAGGAAAACGGTGTTAAGATTGTCCTGCCAAAAATGTCAGGAAGACTAATGCTGTGCCGAATCTCCAATAATACTGCAGCGATCGTGCAGATGGACAGTGTGAAAGTGACGACTTGTAAGACCGATAATCAATGCGATTCTGTAACTTTATGAAATGCAATAGAAATGTACGCATCGAATCGAAATGAGAGCAAATCAAAATGTACTCACTTCTATTTCATCGGTCAGTGTCGATTTTCGGTATTCCGTAACTAAAGTAGAAGATGCAACAATCGAAATGTATGACATAATACAAGACGCTGGATGAAATAGGCGGCAATATTGCATTTGTCGTACGAATTTTGGCTTTAATGACCAAAACACCGTGGTGGTAACGTGGATAAGTGTGGNTCGACCCGATGGTTTGAACTGTTTGCCTTGGTGCGAGCAACGGCTAACGCGTGTGCCGATTGTTTGGTGAACGAAGTAGTGTTACGTTACGGAACCCCGAGAAAAGTTATAAGCGATAATGGTACGCAATTTGTCAGCGAAATTATGCAGTGCGTCACCCATTGTTTGGGATTAAAACAAAGTTTGATACCGGTTTACCATCCCGAGTCGAATCCCGTGGAAAGAAGACACAAAGACCTTAATACTCAACTTTCTATCTTTGTGGGAAAGTACCATACCCGATGGAAAGAAGCGCTTCCTTCAATTAGGTTCGCCATGAATAGTGCGATTCACGCGGCTACCGGATACAGCCCTGCCTACTTGACTTTTGGTCGTGAGTTACGGTCGCCCGGGATTGTTGGACGTGATCTTCGGTCAGTGCTCGAAAACGAGAACTTTATCGCGGAAGTAACCCCGAAGTTGTTACTTATTGCCGACGTATTAGAAAAAGCGCGAGAGAATTCGGACGCGCGACAAAGTGGCAACGAGAAATACGCGAACTTGCACCGTCGTGATATGAACCCGTTTAACCCAGGAGACAAAGTGTTGGTGGATACACACGTTCTTAGTAACAGTGCTCGTGGATTTTCCGCAAAATTGGCCCCTCGGCGTGACGGTCCTTACCGTATTTCCAATCGTGTTTCTGCGAGTACCTATACGATATCGTCTCTTGATGATCCTACGAAGATATTAGGAAAGTATCATGTGTCAGCGTTGACGCCCTTCGTGGAAGATGAAGGCAACGTGCCTTCTGACCCTATTAACCCCATCCGACGACGAGGAAGACCTCGGAAGGTCTCAGTTATTGAAGACGAATCCCACCCCGATTCTGCTACTATGGATGTACCGAGTAGTACTGGTCTCAATACGCCATCAAGTCTCGAC